TGACTGTGCACAGAGCATCCCGATCCAGGAAGGGGCGCAACTGACGTACCAGGCGAACCTGGTAAAAGCCCCCCCTGGTCCAACACAGGCAACTAATGGATCCAGAAAGTTTCCAAATGACACTTAATATCTCCCTGACAATTTAGTGGGGAGTTCTACCTCATGCCTGGTAATTTTTGGAATGTAGACACCCACATTGCTAGATGACATTGAACTTATATCTTCAATTTTCCACCTTAAGCAGTTCCTTACTTTAATGATTTGCTGAGGGAAATAAAGTGATTGACTAGATAGAACAACTGAACACAATCTAAAGTGGAAGCAGTTAAGCACTGGTAAGAACTCACATTCAAGCCTAGACAGGGATGACAGAGGTAAGAATTGATTCTTTTCTATATTTATTGTGGCCATACATTCTTGCATAGCAATTTCATTCATAATTACCCAGATCTTTCTTGGGAAGGATAGGTGGAGCAAAATGCCTGAAGACTCCTGGGATTAATTTACAGGTTTCCTTGCAGATGAAGTAGCTTATACCTTCTCTGGTTTTGATCCCATTGGGCAGAGTCCTCTAAGATGAGCAAAGTAATTCCTTAGGATTTCATCTTATGGAACATGATTAAGTGGAAAAGTTTCCTGTAGAATGGGCCCTGAAATATCTATGGCCCTCCTGGCTTCTTCAAGCTGCCAAGCAGAGTCTGTTAAAGCTTCGTTTGTTAAAGCTTTCGTGACTGACCATCTCCCTCAAGAAAATTCTGGATTTTTTGGATTCAGGAGGTAGCTAGTGCTACTTAGATACTATATACTACCTGGTAGCACTGTCTCTCAGAGAAGGCCTTGTATTGTCTCCAGACTTTCCTTTTGAGGGAAGGTTTTTGACAAGCTGGTGGGGAATCAATTACAAAAGATTCTAGGGGAAACAGATTTATTCCAGGCAGGTCCAGGTCCAGGCATGAGACAGAAATGGTATCAGTCACGTTAGAATATCTCTGTTAGGACCTTGATGAGTGATGCTCTCTTCCTCCATGTTACTAACAGATCGTTAGCAACATTCAGCACTATTTAGTTTCCTTCCAGATCACCTGTAAGAGTGGATTACTATTTTTTAGTAGTTCCACTCCTATCAATGTGGACAGTTTCAAATGGCAGTCATGGGGGAGAATGTTTTTGAACAATCTAGTATGGGGTATTATATACTCTACCCAAATTATTTATATCTGTATGAAAGTACTAAAACAGATCATCGATTTTGGGTGAGGCATAGTCAGTATGCAGATGGAGATGCCACAGAAATCCTAAATCAATAATTAGAGGCTGTTAGGATGACATAAGGTGGAGTTCCTGTGGGTCACCTGAAAACTTTGGTACTGGCAGTTATTCTTGAAAGATTAATGCTTCCCTTGAAATAAATAATTCATATCTGAGTTTTCTTGGACTTGCAGCTACTGCTTAAAATGTAGATGAACGCTGTGGCCAAGAGGAACTTTGCCTTGTTCTGGATGGCATAACAGTTACATCCCTACCTAAAGCAAAAAGACTTGGCAATGGTAATTCATATCCCAATCACCATTCAGGTAGACTACTAAAGCTACCTTTAGAAGTGCATATTATTACAGAAGCCAGAATGCTAGTAAAACAACCCTGCTATCGTGTTTTCCTGAAAATACGACCTGTCCCGAAACTAACGCCTTGCTACATTTTTCGCGTGGCAAAAATATAAGCCCACCCCCGAAAATAAACCCCCTGAACAACCTCCCCTCTGGCCAGGCAGAGCACCGCTCACTGACCTAGCGGTATCCCAAAGGTGCCAAACCGCGGGAGCTGGAGGGGGAAAGCGCTTACGTTGCTTGCAGTCTTCGGGATACCGCTAGGTTGGGGAGTGGCGTTCTGCCTGGCCGGAGGGGGGAGTTGCCAGGTGGCTGCTCCCTTGCAAGCGGGCTCCCGAAGACCCTGGCACATCCTCAGGAGCGAAGTAGCCATGCACTGACCTAGGGGATATCCTGAATGTGCCAAACTGCGGGAGCTGGGGGGCGGGCAAAGCGCCACGTGGCTTGGCGCCTTAGTGATACCCCCTAGGTCAGTGAATGGTGCTCTGCCCAGCTGGAGAGGGGATTTGCCGGATGGCTGCTTGTGAGCATGGTTACCTCATGGCTGCTTCGCCCCTGAGGCTGTGCCCGGCTCTTTGGGAGTCCGCTTGCAAGAGAGCAGCTGCCCGGCAACCTCAAAACAATAAGCCCTCCCTGATAATAAGCCCAAGGCCATATTTTGCGGGGCAAAAGAAAATAAGATCCCGTTGGGGAAACACTGTATTATGGGGTAACTTTTAGCAGTGCACTGGGATATAATTATACATTATCTTTCTAAAATGAATTCTGCTTGTCTGGTCTGAACTTCTGGGGAGAACTTGTTAAGTGTCTATCAACCATGTCGACCCTTTTTGGAATTCCCCACAATTTTGGAACATCTTCCTCCTGCAGAGCCATAATTGGGTTCTTCACCCCTTTCATTCTGCAAGGATCCATTTTATTCTACTGTGTCTTTTCTTCTTATTAATGATGAGTGACCATAGCTTGCTTTTACGCTAGTATTTATTACTGATTTCTTAGCCACCCAAAGTGTCTGCTGATAGTGGTGATTGGCAAATATCATTAAATAAACAAGCAAACTTTGCAGGAAGAATTCCATTTTTCAAACTATTCAAACACAAACTTTAAAAAATAGTCTCACTGTTAGTCCTGGATTACTCATCAATAATATTGTTTTAGTAAATTTTTAGTAAAATATAATGGTTTTAATGTAAATGTAATGTACTCAAGAAAAAAAATATTCCTAGTTTTTGTCTATAAACTATACTTACCCACAGTGACAGCAGCTACAACTGGTGAAACAATTACAGATAAGGTTACACCACCTGCAATGGCTAAGTTCCTCTTATGCTTTGACATGTCTTTGCCTTCATAGCGATTATGAATCTTTATAAAAAAGAGGAAAAAGGAAGATATTTTAGAGAAAAATCCATTTAATAACTGGTAGAAGAAATTATATACAGGAGTGATCAAAATTATCTTTATCCATTTACTTCCCATTTTAAATTAATGCATTTAAAGATTCCATTGGTATAATCAAATAAGATGAGTAAACAAAGCAATGTGAAAAAAACAGTTTTGGATTTCTTTTCCTTTCCTGTTTAAACCTTTCCTCTGCTATCTTGGCTTTCAGGCTTTGGTTAGGCTCTTCTGTCTAGGTCTCTTGACTCAAGGCTCATTCCCTGCTTGATCTCTCCTTTTTGCCTGCTGGCAGTTTCCCAACAATACTAGAATCACTGGTCAGACATGAATGGTAAATTCCTTTAATATGGATTCCTGTCCCAACCCAGAAATTTAAATTCATAGATATAAATGGTATTCTTTGATTTTAGTTATGAAACACTATGTCATATAGGGTTGGTATCTGGGTTCAAATCCCATTTGTATCACTAATTTCTTGGGAAATCACTTTTCTTTGTGGGAAAAGGACTAGGAATACCCTGATTAAAAACGTTTTGTAACCAGAGAACTTTATGGGAATCATTTTATATTTTCAGCTAAGGAAGTCACTTGGTCTTCCAGGAAAATTGATAAGTTTGCAATTGTTAAGACTTTTACAGTTTTTACTGCAAGAAATTTTCTTTTTCTTTTTTTAATGCTGAGCTATGAAGTTATGTCACAGCATAGCAGTGGTGGGTTGCAGGCAGTACAGCCCAGTACAGGTGTACCGGATCCTGCCCGGAGTACCGGTATGGTGCTTCGGAGTGCCCACCCACTCGCCCACGCTCCTTACCTGTGCTTTAAGCTTTTGGTGCTTCCGCACACACGCATGGCATGTATGGCACCTGCGTGATGCTCCGCCGAGCAGCTGGAGCATCACGGAGGCTTGCGGAAGTGTCACAGGCAAGTATGACGCATATGAGCTCCACGTGGGTGATGCCGGGGCCGTTCCAACCATACCGGTTGGAACAGAATCCGGAACCCACCACTGCAGCATCGTCATAACGTGAATCCCATTAAAATAAAATTAAAAATGCATGTTATCAGAACGGCAATGAGATGGTATGATAAGCCTCCCTAGATAAGAAACAGCAAGGTTTGGAACCACCACTTGAAAAGAATACATCCATGATAAATACCTTTCATATTTCATAATGTTGGGAGCCTCAATAAAATTTCATCTGGATATGACAGACCAGTGATAGCTAATCTTTTTCTAAAGGTGTGCCAAAACTGTGTGTGAGTGCCCACCCACCTGTGCATGAGCGACCCTCCCACCTGCGCATCCATGAGTGACCCCCCCCCACAACACACATATGAGTGACCCCTGCATGCAGGGGGGGAGGGATTTTCACCCTCCCCAGGTTCCAGAGGCTTTCCTGAAGGACGAAAATCATCTGAGGGCTGCCGTGCTGGCAAAATGGCTCCGCATGCCACCTGTGGCACACATGCCCTAGATTCGCCATCTCAATGATAGACTGAGTAGATAGAATAAATGGATGAATGGTTTTTTAAAAAAATAAAATACTGTATCACTATTTTTTTATTTTCAGAAGTCAAAATCAGAAAGTTCAAATTGGATATGGAAATTGAATTGACAGCTATAGAATAATTGGCTAGAATTGTTAATAACTCTCATACTTCTATTGCTTCAACGTCTGCTATAACCCCAGCAGGTTGACACTCCAGAGGAAATTTATATTTAAAAAAGAAGAGGAAGAACAAGTAATAATTGATTTGAAAAAAATACTTTAATAAACAGAGTATGCTATAGCAGAATAACAAGCAAGTCCCATTGAAAAATATGTAAATTTCAAAAGCAATTCAGTTATCTTACCTTACGTCCCACATATACAGGAATTCCAATAATCATTGCTGGAATAGCAATGCCTGCTATTAAGGCAATTCCGACAGGTGCACCTACAAGTGTCCCAAGTTGCCAAAGAATTTTCTTCTTCCGGCTCCATGGTTTTTTCCCCCAGAATGTACAGCCTGATGGACTGAGAATTTTCCATATATAAGATTAACCAGTGAACAATCTTCAGTAAACAAATCATTTAACTTAGACTATTACTAACACATATGCTGCCATGTGAATATACTGTATCATCTTGATATATACAGTCTCAGCAAATAACATTTTAAAATAGGGACATCATATCATATCTTTTTGTCAGGTACACCAGTTCCAAAATTCAGCCCAAAGATACATTTCTTAGTCTCATTAGCTTTCCTCTATTTGCTGTCCAAAGACACAGGGATTATAATTTACAACACTCTCGTCCAATATTAGGCATGCATTAGGCAAAAAGAGCCAAGGTGGCGCAGTGGTTAAATGCAGCACTGCAGGCTACTGCTAGATCAGCAGGTCAGCGGTTCAAATCTCACCGGCTCAGGGT